ACGCAATAGACTTTGACAATATATTTTTTAATGATTCATTTAAAATTTAAAGTAATGTAATCGAAATTCGAGACATTTATATTTATGTTGAAAGTATATTGAAAATGTGTATAAAAATATAAAATATATTACGCACACATAAAAATACAAGAATACAAAAATATAAGAAATATGAGATAAATATGGGAGTTTTAGTACTGGGATTGCTCGTTCATACAGGAGAAACTTAAACTCGCAAGTTTCCTCGAGTGTTTAGCTCCCAATATCATCCCTAGATACTCCCTCGCGAGAATTTACGTGCCTCTTTTTGCTGGAGTTGAAGTGCTCCTCGCAGCTGTTTTCTCGCTGCGATATATTTCCTTCACTCGCCATAAATTGAATCTGTTCGTTAAGTTTATTATGGGATTATTTTGATGTTTGAGCATGTGCGATCTTAGATCAGAATTTGGTATCGAAGGTAATCCCGCATTGTCAAGTTCTCGAGAAGATACAAAAGGATCAGGAAACCTAATTTATACAAATTGTGAATAAATTGACATGTCAAATTTAATGATTAAATTTTATTTAGAAAAACTTTAAGAGAAAGAGAAATGGAAATAAGAAACTATTCGACAATTATAAATCAGTGTAACAAAAGTTGACAGAATCATAAACGATCGGATTCACACTTCCTTGAGTCCATTGACATGAGATATGTCGTCTCGACATTCATGCTCATTGTCTATAAACCACCGACCTGATCGAGAATCGTGATTCTGCCCGCGAGACCTCGTTTCAACAACTAATGCCCTCGTGTCTAGAATAAACGACCATATCGCGTTGTAACAGTTCGCGCTGTTTCTCGATTTTGACCCGCGTCGCGTAGCGAACTTTGGCCATATTTCGCAGCTGAAACTAGTTTCCTCTCTTCGACTTTGTAAACTTTAGGATACGAGAACGCTTCTCTTTTCATCCTTGTCTTTTTTATCTCACTACAAGAATTTAGCATTATCACGATTCAGAACCACCATGTTTTTTTTTTCATTAAAGAGAGACAAAAGAATTATAAATATTTCAGATAAATTTAAATTAATTTTAATTATCAGCTTTGTTGAGGGAATTTAAATGAACTTCCCTGAATTCTTTTAACCTGATAAACACTAATGCGGGCAAAAAAAAGTTCAAATAAATGTATATAAATGTATATAACTTAAATTCTCAAACGCAAAAGAAAAATCCATTAAAATTTCCTGTGTTGATGAGGATACGTTTTACAGTACTTGTAAATATCTCTAGGTCACGAAGCTGGAGCGAAAGAAATTATATTGTGTTTAGCAACAATCATTCAAGTTTTCCACTTTCAAGCGCGCCGACCTGTATACGGATATCGGCAAAGTTTGCAATAACTTCCTTCCGTTTACAACTGCAACTCGCGTTCCGCTTTTTTTCTTTCTTCGAACTTCGACAGAGCGAGATTAGGGAATCCTTCGGGGATTCTTTCGCGAAAGTTCGCAGCGGACATCAATTACTGCGGTCGGCCGATTTGGAACAAGAATGAAATGCAACCAGCGAGAGAGAAGAAAGAGAAGATGGGTGGAGGGAGGGATCGAAAAGAACGCGAGATGTATAATTGGTATTGATAAGTATAATTGGCCGATCGAAAAGAGACGATTTATTCATCCTCCTCCCGCCCCGCTCTCGTCGCCATTGAGTTATTTATCAGAGCAGGCTTTTATTACCACGTGCACTTAGGAAATTAAACCATGAGCAATGTTTCAACGTAATACTGTTCTCTATTATTTCTCTTTCTGTTTCTCTCTCCTTCTGGTATTAGAAATATAGCATATTAACATGATTAACTTATGTTCGTTTAGCGTTTCCATGTCGGACAAGACGAAATAAATACCGTCGCTCTAAATCGTCGATAATTTTTGGACGTTCGGAATGTGTGCATAGAAGATCAGGTTCTTTATTCGTTTTCGGTCCACACTTAATTTTCATTCAAGGCGAAGGATCTTCAATTCTTTATTAGCGTTAAGTGCGCTTCTGTAAAATTCAAAATTCACTAAATATTAAATTCTATTTTCTCTCTTTTTCCTTCTCTCTTGCCGTATTATTTATACAATTACAAATATATACACTTTCGACTTTGTAAAAGAATTTTAACGAGAAACAAATATATATACAGATTTCCGCGTATTCAAAATCTTCTTTGTTTTTTTTTTTTAAAGTCAAAATTAGATCTCGATATCTCATATTCCGCGCGAATGAAAATTCCTGAATATAACAAGATTGCAGAATGCAAGAAAATGTCCGACAAGTTCCACGTGGACGAATAACGAGGCGGTTCCGCTGAGATGGCGGTGCGCGGAGGATGATAATTGAAGGCTCCAAATGATACTTTGATGACCATCCCACTCTCCAGTTTCCTCACGGGAGGAGCTTTTTCATCGGGAGCACGTTTCTTCGGCGCACATCGCCGTGGAAACGTATTTTTCTTTTCCTCCTCTCTACAGAATGCGGATCACTCCAGCGATAGTAATAAAACGGCTTTTGAGAGAGAGAGAGAGAGAGAGAGTGCGGAATAAAACAGGATAAGGTTTATTGCGCGTGTTCTAGAGACAATTCTTTTTCTCTCGCGGGACATCGCACAAGTACAAAAACTGGAAGATAGAGAGTAATAATAATGAGAGGTAAATGTTCTACAAAGTTTTTTAGAACGTTCAAATGACTACCTATTATTGCAAGCAGTATAATTGTGCAAAAGGTTAATGCAATTTTAATATTAAAAATATATAAAGAGAATATAAAATAAATAAAAAAATTAATACACACATTGAGACAAAAAATTTGACTTTGCATGATATACATATATTCCTCTTTAACGTTTGAGAGTATATAAAAATAGTGTATATAAATTACATAGTATTGTTTATTTGTTAATAAAAATACGATTTTTATCGAGTTGTGATAAAACTATAATTATATACAGAGTGCAACTGCATGTAAAACTTGACAAAATCGCAAGGTCGAGGGAAAAGAACGAATAAATGAATAAGATTTTCTGATACATCTTCTTTCTCTGTGCGATTCCTCGGAAAAATCGATAAGGGAATATACGGTTTCATTATTACGATACAAGAGCGCGATCGGTGAAGTGAACGTTGTCGATGGCACACAGGCTTCGAAATCTCGCTCCAGTCGCTACGAATTGCAGTTGACAGAACGCATTTTTCTTCACGCGGGAGGGAGGAAGTAATAAAGACGATAGAAAGGAAAAGGGAAGGGTATAATCCATCGAAAACAGACGAAAGAAATGAGGGCAATATCCTATCTCGTTTTTATTTCCTGAAAATGACGGTAGGATAAAACGGCTGGTGTAAACAATTCGCCCGCTGGTAGAGAGGAGAGCAGGGAGAAAGAAGGAGAAGGGGATGAAACAAAATCGCGGTCGCGATTGCGGAGAATCGAGCGAGAAGAACTATAGTGCTGATTTCATCATGCGAATGGAATGCGAATGGAGACCGCAAACGAAGGACATCTTGGCAAAAGGCAGTGACGGTGAGATTTCATCCGATCTTATCGTCGAGAGACTCTTTAGAGAAATATTACCACCGACTATGTCTCTTTGCGCGGCGAAACAAAAAATTTTGCCAACGTGCTTCTTTGTTATCGTCTATTTTCTGTTATATTTTCAGCATATTCTACGCGATATATATATA